CTTGAGTGTGTGAAGTTTGAACTTGATCAATCCAGACATGTCTCGGATACGGATCCAGAACTGAATTCTTTAAAACAAAATGGCCACCAGTCGGCCATTTCGAACTTGATCCAAAAAAAAAAATGACGTGCATCAAGGTCCTATTATGTTTAATGTATGTATCAAATTTGAATGAAATCCATCCATGCATAACTGAGATCCGGGTCCGGAATGGTGAAAATGTGCGATTTTGATGCATTTTCGGCCTTAAAATGGCTGCTATTCGGCTATCGTTAATCGGATTATGAAAAAAATGCATGTGCATATGTCCCATATAATGTGTGATGTATGAGTGAAGTTTGAACTTAATCGGTCCATGCATGTTCGAGATACAGGTGATCACGGACGCACGCACGGACGCACACAGGGCAAAACATAAGTCCCCGTTTTCGGACTACGTCCGAACGGGGACTAAATATACAGTTGCAACACAGGTTCAAAAATTATGCACGATGATGAGAAATTTTTTTTAAAGGGGAGGGGCTTAAATAATTGAATTTAACTAAGTCCACTCAGAAATTCCAGCAACTTTGAAACCTGAATCCATGATGTGAATAATTTGCAGGAAATCCGTTCATGATGCTTCTTGTACCACTAACTGGATCGTACTGGTGTAAACCTGTGAGAACTGAGCCTGCAGCGCCATCTTGGGATTGTGAATACTGCGGTACAAAGAGTTGATCATTACACGTGAACATCTCGGCTGCTAGGTTACTATTCTCATCCATGTTTGCAGGAAGACCAGAAAACGCTACACTTTTCTCCTGGGTGACTGTGTCGTATTTGAATATTTTACCAGCCTCTTGTCTTGGCCAGAATTGGAGACTTAAAATATACACACTATTTCCCACTGATGCTAAGGTGACTGAATCGAAAAACTCTTTTGGTTTTTTGTGTACTGCTGTGGACCATTGATTGGTGGTTGGGTCGTAGGCGAGGAGAAACGGTTCAGCTCCATTCGAGGCATAAATCTTACCATTGCAAGCAGCGATGCTGACACATGTATATTCTTCAAGTGGTAACGGAATCTCACTCCACGTGTCCTCCAACATGTCATAGCAGAATATTTTTGAAAGTTTCAGTGACTTGGCTGGCAATGAAAAAAGTAAAGTTCGTCTTTCAATCGAACTGTGTTTTTACATTCTATATATGGATTGGTTGCAAAATTTCTACGGTCTGCGGCATCTTTTAACATGGGAGTTACCCTGACTGGTCCGCTACGATAATCTAACACCCAGGTGTCGGCATCCTGGGTAACCATAACAACAGCAAGTCCATTATCTACCATTTGCATGGCAGCTGGTTTACGTCCTTCCGAGTCATAATAACAAAATGGACTGTCAACGAGTTTAACCTTTCCATCCTCAAAAACAAAATAATCAAACTTGATAAAGTTTTTGAGTGTTATCGTTTTAGTCGTAGAATCTTTTGTTGCGTACGTTTTACTTTTCTCTTGCATCTTAAATGTCCTGTTGCCTGGCAATGACACCAGCACCTCATCATAGAGACGAGGACGTAAACCATAATATCTGTGATGACACAGTTTCTCGCTGTATGTCAGTTTCCAATAATTCCGCTGTTTTTCGTGCAGCAGCGCAATTTCTGGGATTTTATGTTTCGCCAAGTAGAACAGATACAATGGTGAAGGATCTTTCAAAATATACGGGTAGCGAACGTGATTCAGCAAATCCGATATGTGCACCTGTCTTTCCTTCTTGTCTCGCATCACCCATCGCATGACAGCACTGAATATTCGTGATTCGTCTTTTATTTTCAAATCATCTCGGGAAATAACATCTATGACAGCTTCCTTGCTACTGGCAAGAAAGTCTTCAGATAGCGAGTATTTCTCAAAATCCGAATCAGCAATCACCGAACTTGAGGTACACTGGTAGCAGCTACTTAATTTAGTCACAAATTTTCGCTGTCTAAAAAACTTGCAGTATTGGGTCCAGTTTTGAACGGCAACTCGATTAAGAAGTCCCATAATGCACCAGTGATAGAATTATTGTGATAATCTTCTCAACCTACAAAATACAAATTACTATTTATGTTGATTTCATATCTTCCCATCATGCAATGTTAGCAGTGAATCCTGAATAGCATTAACCAAGCCATAACTATCAGGAAAAACAGAGTTGGTAAACAGTCACCCCCAATCATTGTCCTCACCAAACACCCCCCAAATAAAACACTGCTTTTCTCTCCTTACACTAGGAATTTCACCCATTTCTAATACAAATGGAATCATTGGAGATGGTGTACAGGTATGGTAGCTGTGGTTCATAGCCCTCTCAAATGCTAGTCCTCATTTTCATTTGGTGTATGATCAGGAACAAGTCAGATAAATGAAAGAAAATTTAAAATCAATTTTCTGTCGCACAAACAAGCAATAGAACTGTACGTTGACATTTTGAAAATAAGACTGGTTATTCAACAAACTTTGAAATCGCAAGTCATGCCATTATACAAACCCCAACCACAACTATATAATCCCAAAATATTGCACTCGTTTAAGTACCCATGTTGTTATATCAAAACTTTGATGTTCCTCTATTCCAAACAATGCCAGGCAAATACTTTGTCTGTTTTTTAGGACAGTAGAAGAATGCGCAGATCTCCCAAAACATCCAGCTCCTTTGCCCTTGCTCTGCGTACTACTACAGGTCCAAGTCTGTAAATGTGGAGGTACTCGATTTCGTTCTGACCTTGTTAATATTACTCCAGGCGCTCGGAACG